ATGATCGATCGAACCACATGTTGGATCGATCGAAGAACAATTCGATCGATCGAAGGTGATCTTGTGATCGATCGAACTGGCACCAAATGCCTAATTTTGAACTGAAAGTGCAGAAAATCCTATGCTAAGCCCCAATGATGGTAACAAGAATGAAAATTTGAAAAATAGATGGAAGAATGTACACAAGAATGAAAAATAAAAAGAAATGAGGGAGGAATAGAGTTGTGAAACTCTACGAATACTAGTATTTAACGTCTCTAGCAAGACGTTAGGTCAACTCACTAATCAAATGAATCAAAAACTGGATATGAAACATCCTTATTGACCCTCTTTTCACTTTTCTCATTTAATGTCCCACTTATGACAATAAAATCATCCTCCAAAAGAATGACTTGAAAAGAAATAAAAGAGATGATATTGTTCCTTTCATCCATGGTCTTGAAAACAAAATCAATCATGGTTAGGCTTGCCTCTTTGTTGTGTTCTTGAAACACATTCAAATGATCATCCACATTGATAATTGGTGAGGCATTATCTTTCAAAGACTCATTTGGATTAATAAGAAACACCTTCTCTTCATCCCTCTTCTCCTCCTCAAAAATCACCATCTCTTCACCTTCAAAGTTAGCTAAGGAGTCCATTAGAGAGTTTTCATTTTTGGAGCTTTGAAAGTCAAAACCACAATTTTTATACATTTCCAAAAGACATTCCTCAAGAGAGTCATTAGAGATAATAGAAGGAAGGCCCTCTTCAACAAGTTCCTCCTCCTTCTCTCCTACCTTAAGTGTGGTCAACATCTCCTCACTCTCTAGAGTAGCCATGTCCGAGATAAAATCATAATCAAAACAAGGAAAGTCCTCATTAATCATGTTATGTTCTATTGGATTAGTCACTAACTCACTTGTCACTTCCTCCTCTATACAAGATAGAGTGCTAGGCATTAGCTCACTTATTTCATTCTCCTCACTCTCATCATCCTCATCTATATTCATTGAAGTTCTTGCCATTTTTTCATTTGCCTCTTCCTCCTCCTCTTGATGAGAAAGAATACTTGCAATTTGCTCAACTTGAGCTTCTAAGTTGGCTAAAGTTTGAGAATGAGAATTAATAAGTGAAGTGTGTGAAATATGCACATCAAGTAAAGCTAACACTTTTTCTTTAAATTCGGGTGAGTACTTAAAAGGTGGTGGAATTGATTCATCATAAAATGGTGGGGGAGGGTAATAGTCACAAGAAGGATTAAATGAGTGATCAAGTCCATAATAAGATGATGCATGAAATGAATTGGACTCAATCTCATAAGGATTAAAACATGATGGAGGAGCATAAGGTGAAATGATGTAATTCCCCCCCAAACTTGGATCAAACAATTCCTCCATTCACAATTAAAACCCAAATGCAAGAAAAAAAAATTGGCCTCAACAAGGGCCTATGCTTGGACAAAAATTTAGCAATAAAATGAGCCTCAACAAGGGCTATCACAAGCATACAAAGAAGTGAAACAATTAAAATACAAGAGTGCCAAGAATTGCTCACAATGGTCCTTTAGCACTTCAACTCCAAATTTAGCTTTTAAGCTCCAATGATTGCTTTAAGTTCCAAAGTTCGCCTTCCTTGTAGTCAAGTACCTAATTGAACAAATAATAATGAGAATCAAGAGAAAAGAATATACAATGGAAAATAAAATAAAATAGAAGCAATCTAATGAACACTATTGTCTAGTTTAATTCCAACAAAACCATTAATCCCCAGCAACGGTGCCAAAATCTGACGACGGCCGTTCCAATACGCCAAAATGAATGTAGTGAATGTGTGGTTCAAGAAAAGCCTTTTATGTCAAATTTAAATTTATAAAAACCACTACCAACACCACTGCTAACGTAGCAAGAGTGAGTAGGGATCGTCCCAAGGGATTATACGTGTTGGAATTTCAACTTCGACTCTAGCGTACCAAATGATTGCAAAAGAGAGTTGGGTTGGTTGATTACTTCTAGAAAAGAATTAATTAAAATGCAATAAAAATAAAACTAAGTAGAGATAGGGATTTAAGAGATGAGAAGAGAGGACTTAGGGTGTTGGAATTACCACTAAGCTCATGTAATTAACCACTTGCTTTCCATTAATGGGGAATACATTGTTGTGAACAAAATTGGTTCGACTAGCAAAGGTGACTCAACAAGTGTATAATGTCTAAACAACATGTGAAAGGCTACAATATATCTATTGGAAGAGGAATATATTGTCTAGACAACATGTGAAGAGAACAAAATATCAAATCAAGTCATTAAACCTTTCATTAAGCTCATAGTCCAAATAATCCATAAGGATGACTTAGTTAAATATGCATTATCTAAACATCATGTGAAAGGTACAAAATATCTATTGGGAGAGGAATAAATTGTCTAAACACATGTGAAAGATACAACATATCATAACTAGTCATTAATCCTTCATTAACCTCAAAATTCCATTACACCACAATGTTAGAGCATATGCTTCTTGCATTCAAAAGCATGGAACATCAAAGAACAAGCATGAATTGTCTCCCCATCTAACACTACACTACAACTACACTACTAGCATGAAAATAAACTAAAGGAGAGGCACAATCCATCAAGGAATAAGTATGAACCATTAGGAGACATAACAAGAGCATTCCATTAAGTACTAATGTCTAGCCATCACTAGATTCTCAATTAACCACACATAGACATGCAATTAATATAGAAAAACTAGTGTAGAGATCAATTCCCTAAATAATCACACATAAGACAACATGTAATTAAAATAGAGAATCAATGGAAGAATTAACCCATATGAATCATGTGAGACATAATTCCTAATTTAATCACACATAGACATGTAAATAAACTAGAGAATTAATAGGAAGAATTAGACCATGGAAATCATAGAAATATACCAAGATTCATGAAATTCACAAGGCTAAAACACTAATCACAACAATATATATATAAATCCCCAAAAATAGAAATACAAGGGTTTAGATTACGCAAGACTTAGGGCTCATCCAAGCCCTAAATGTAGATTTAGTCAATCATGGAGGAGGTGGATGTAGTCATGGAATCAAGCTCCAAACATGGCTCCATCTTCTTCTTCCTCTTCTTCTTCTTCTTCTTTTAAGCTCTAGAAATGGAGAGATAGTAGATTTAGAGATGTGTTCTTGAGATGTGCCTCCACTTCTCTCTTTTCTTCTAACCCTAATCTCTAACTTTTCTAGAGAGAGAAAATAAAAATTACAATGTAGAAAATAAAATGATAAAAGCTTCAAGTCCCCTTTTACAAATGGGTTGCTTCCCTTTATATAGAAGTTCCTTTTCTTAGTCACTAAGTCTAGAATATATGTCCAAAAATATCTAATCCCGCAACTTTTTGGTAGGTGAACTTTTGGGAGCGCACGGAAAAAGTGACAGCTTGCTGCCAGCATGTCCAGTTCGATCGATCCAACTTTTTTTCGATCGATCCAACTTTTTTCGATCGATCGAACTTATTTTTCGATCGATCCAACTTTTCTGATCGATCTAACTAAAAGTTCGATCGATCCAACTTTTTCTGCGATCTATCCAACTTTTCAGCTTTTCAGTATCAGCTTCTTTTTGCTCCAAATCAGCCTCTTTTTGCTCCGGATCATCGCTAAGACTTAGTTTGACTCCAAAAAGGCCTTTAGAACTCATTTTTAGCCCATTTTAACATTATTGACCTGAAATAGATAAAAACACAAATAAGTACTAAAACGGGTAAATAAGATAGATAAAGGTCCTATAATACTCAAGCTTAAGGGGTTTAAAAGTGTACTTTTGAGCTCTCATCAGGCAACAATGGTGGCGTTGGTAATGATGGTGGTGGAAGGCAGTGGAGGTAGCAGTGGTGAAATGCGGAGGTGGTGGTGGTGGTGATGGTGGTGGTAGGGGGGAAGGGAGTGGTGTAGGTTTAGTTGTGAAATAGATTTTTATTTCAATGGAATGGTCATTCTTACTTTAAAATTACATAACAAATAAATGAATGATTGGAATGAACATTCCATTTATGTACACCAAACACATCATTATATCCTTGTAACTTTTTTTTTTTTTTTGGCGACTCGTGAATCATCATATCTCAAGTTCAACACGCACGTGAATATAGTTTGAGCTTTACCGGATTAGGGTGATGGGCGTCGTCCCGTGTATTAATCAAGGCAAAGCCTTGGACATTCTAAAAAAAAAAAAAAATTATTATTATTGGCTTGAATACCCTGCAATAATAGAGTAGATATTGGTCATCCCAGTCACATGCATACCCATATAATCAAATATATTATATTATCTCTAATTTTAGTGGAACAACTTATTTTTTATTTTTTATTTTTTATGATGATGCAAGTCATTGGCCATATATTAATGACTTGGTATTCCTGGGCATTTAGCTCGATATTGAAACAATGTCTTTTAAAATTGTCAAAATAATATCCAGTATTCATAAGTTTTACAATTTTATTTTTTTAATTTAAAGATAAATAAGTCTTACAAATTTTTCTTTAGTAAATTAAATATACTCTTGCCAAATTAAGTATAAAATCAACCTTCATTTTACAAAATTAGACAAAAATAGAATTTAATAAAAAGGAAGAAAATACATTTTATTGGTTTTTTATAGATTAGTTTAAAAAATATTATTATATAAAGCCATAATGTAATATTATTAAGTAAACTAAAACTTAAAATAAACTATAAAAATAAAAATAAAAATTCAAAGTTATACCAATTGAAGAATAAAATTAATAAATAATAAAATTTTATTTTATATTTAGTAAAGTTATAAATTTTAAAACCATATAAACTAATGTTCTCTTATATATAAATAATAATGTATTAATATAATTTAAAATTTTAAAAATAAATTAAAAATACTCTTTACCAAATGTATTTTATGTTTTTGTTTGAGTAATTTGGCTACAAACTGAGTAATTTGGCTACAAACTCAGCCAAACGTTTTCATATTTCTTGAACCCCTCTTTTGTTTTAGGCGCTGCAAAAACACAATAGGGGCCTCAATATCTGCCTCTTCACTCCAATCCGGCCCTTTTCTCTCTCCACCCGCGCAACACAAAGCCACCGCCGCCCCTTCTCCCTCTCTCTCCACCGCCCACCCCTTCTCTCTCTCCACACTTAATATTCTCGCTCTTCAAGCCCTCCCTTGAGGCCTGAAACCCTACAAGAGCTCGTGAAAGTGATCAAAGGCAGCCTCTTGGCTCTCGACACCGAAACCGTTGCCCAATTTAAAGCCCTTGAAAAGGTTTTCCTATGTCCCTTCCTCTATCTCTCTCTCTCTCTAAATGCATATATCACACACACATTTTCATCCTACCCACATATCAGGTCTTACTATTTATACTCAAATATTGATGCTCAATTTCGACTGCACGCTCGGTGCTCACTGCATTTCTCTCCAATTATTCACTGGATTTATGTGCGAGTTCTTACAAATTAATATCATTACAGTATAGTTTTGGTATTTAGTTGAATTGCTTTCTTTATTGTGAACTTTGATTATTGTGAATTATTCATTCTTTGTCTTCGATTGTTGATTGGAATTCTCTGATTACCGTTTGTATTTACTAGTAGGGTTACTACCTTCCCGATGAAATACCTAGGAGGATTTTTGAAATGGTTTCGGATATTGGGTGTTAACTTTCACATATATACTCGCCATAGACATTACTGGTGCTCATATGATGCCAATTTCAGCGTGCGTTTAATTAGAGGAGTTGTGAAATGTGGAAATTGAAACTAAGCTTATCATTTTTTGGTAATTTTTATTTTCTAAATGTAGGTCATATGCTTGATAAATTTCCCAAATTGTAACTGAATATTGCAAATATCTTTTTTACTCTCATAGTCTCATTGGATGCACCTAAAACTGGTACTACACACACACATATATAATACTCAAATATTTATAAATATATAGATATCTATTAATTTAACAAATTGTGTATTTAATTTTTATCAATTATATATAATATCCAACTACATGTTTTTTTTAATGTATATATGTGAATATATAATACGAAAATTGTATACATTTTAAATTTTACAAATCAAATTTATATTTAGTATGCATATTAAACATGTATGTAATATCTAATTAAATATTTAATGAAACTATATAAAGTACAAGTTATGTAAAACACAATTCCGGCAGTAGAAGTATAAGTTATGGATAACACAATTCCAGCAGTAGAAGGCCAAAACGGTACTTTTGCCCATGTAAAAACTTCTTTTGGGGCTAAAACCGTCAATTCACGTGTGACGTGTCGGATGAGTCTTTTCACAAGCTCAAAGGGTGGAAAAGGAATTTTGCATGGTGCCAGAGGTCTAACACGACATTGGGCTAATGACGGGGGAGTGGGTATCACGCGACAAATGTCACGGGTTGTAGGTATCACCTGCTAAACTGAGCATCTACTTGCAATAAATGTAAACCTCAGGGGGGTGTCAATGTAATTTACCAAAAATTATTTAAATAAAATCCTTTAAAGTATGCATGAGGCAAAGAGCAATAATGTGAAATTGTTATCCCATAATTACACTCAAGTATTTTGAACCATTCACGCAACGCACTGCATAAATAGAGTTGGGGGCATGTTTGTCACTTGAACTAATAAGGTGAAAGAAATTTATTTTAGTGCCCCATTTTTCATTCAAAGTCTCTCTCTCTCTAAACATATGGTTTTGTTGTTGTTGTTGTTGAGCAAAGTGAAATGATTAATCTTCCTTGTTGCTTAATAGTTGTCACCATTACTCAGAAGTTATTTGCTGCTTTTATTGATATAACTCTATATTGTGTTACTTGTTATTGTGATACCATTTCGTTAAATATAGTCCCATGTCTCTTCAAATTTCAATGTGTCAATCTTCCATTACTAACTTGTTGCATATGAATTTTTCTTCGTATTTCGGTCTAGAATTTCTTTTCATAATATGAACTCAGTTTCATGCCCTGGAATAGTTGGAATACATTCACTTGATACGCACTTTAAAATTTATGTTTAACTCATGGACTATAATGATTTGCATCTTCAAAGGCACCATAATGTTTCTCTTTAGTGCTTTGAGAGTCTCTCTCTCTCTCTCTTTTTCTTTTTTTTTTCGTGTATACCATGATAATACTCTACTTCTAATGAAATTCTAATCAATTTCTCAGTGAATTTGGAAGATTTGAGTTTTAATTTTCCTAGAGCTTTTAGGTTTGATTTGGGTTATACCAGTGTCTTACATTATCGGTTGATCTCTAATCTCATTCATGATTCATGCATTTAAGTTTGATCCATGGGTTACCTTAATATGTTTTCAGTCTGATCTTTTCTTAAATGAGAATTCAAAGCTGGTTGCACCTAATGAGAATTCAGCTTCTTCTTTTCTTTTCTTTTTTTCAATTTCCTTTCCTTTCCCTAAAAGTGGGAAATACTTTGTAGCTACTCTCCAAATTAATTTATCTTCTTTATTGCTATTATTGCTGCTTTTTTATTCCTCACAAATATCATCTTTCCCCCAGAATGTTTATTATTGCAGCTTCATCATTTTTCAATTTTCATTGGGACTTCAGCATTTCTCAATTTTCCTTGAGACTTGGTTACTTGTCTTGATCGAGATCCCCAATTATCTGATCATGTTCACAAGCAAATTTCTATTGAGAACATATTCAAAGTGAAATTCAGCATAGGCTTGATTTTTCTGTAGCTTTCTTTTTCTTTTTTATTTCTGATGTTCGTGCAGTAATAGAGGTCTACCAAGTGATAAGTCAGACCTTCACGAAGTTACTCTTTTTATTTGAAGAAGAGGCAGAGTGAACATCCTCAATTACACTGCTTCTGATTTTTACATTTACACTCGACAACTTTGGTATATAAATTTGGATACGTTTTGGCTAAAGCTATTTTAAAATTCTGGTATCACACTATTACTTAATGGGTTAGTTTTTTAACTTAATGATCATTGTGTATAGTTCACAATGTCTCTCCATGTATGCAGAACTAATCATTGAACTTCAGTTTTAGTTTGATCGCGGTCTGTCGGTTGGTATCTATTGTTCCAATAGGGGAAGCACGGAGTTCAACTCCTAATTGGCACATATTCATGTGCATAGTTATCCCGAAAAAGAAAAAAGGGAAAAAAGAAAAAAGAGAAAAGGAAGAAGAAAAGGATGCTATTCTTAGATAGTAGCTTGTTACACTCTTGTTCTGTTTTAATTTCATGATGTACCTATAAGTTGTTTTATTCTTTCTTTTACTGTGCTTGGTGGTTTTTATGCAAATTCATATTTTGTTTTTTTTGTTTTTTTTACCAATTCCGAGAGTTCCCACATGGGAATAGGCCTTATTCATCAGTTGGACACTAATTCACATGAAGCGAGAGTGAGAGGGAGAGCGAGTTTGAGAGTGGGAGCGAGAGTGGGAGCGGGAGCGTGACCGTGAAAGCAGCAAAATTAAGTAAAAAATAGTGGGAATGGGAACGAGAACGCGCGCGGAGCGTGAGAGCGGCACCCGTTGTGAAGGATTGTGCAACTTAGGTTGGACATATAAATCTGGAAACTTTTTCTTAAAGCCATTTCAGCTTCTCGTTTTACTTGAGTTTTTTTGAAGTAATCCGTTTTTCTTCATATGTGCATTATGTTTCTGTTTTGTTGTGTATCTTGAGTCCTATACATTGAGCTTTTTTTTATTTTTTTTATTATAAGTCCGATACATTGAGCTTTAATCTCATATTTGTTTCAAATTAACCAATCTTAGACATTGCTGATCAATGCACTTGCGTTACGTTTTATTTTTCATCATGTTCCTGTGAAAGGCACTCATGTTCTCTTTTATTTAATTATGTGCCTGTGAGGTTTTTCTTCATTCTTTTGTAATGCAAATACTTATTTTTGAGTGGTGCTTCAAAATTAAAGCCCTAATCAATTTAAGGATGCATTACATAGAAAGTTTGCTCGACTATTTGTTTCATTTTTTCATTTTTTAGTTGCGTATTTTAATTCGATCTGCATTTTGAACAATGAGAATTTTGATAATGGTTTTCTTGAATTTTCCTCTTCATAATTGTTTCAAACTGCTTTCCCTCAGTGAATTCAAGATTCTGGACGTATAAGCATGGGTGTAAGTATCCATTTCCACAGGATTCACTCCAGAGATAGCAAGTCAAAGGATAACATGGGTTCCAAACAACCTCTATTTTGCTTGAAATGGCCATGGGATGGACATCAGAATCCTAACGCCCACAATCACTGCAGCTTTGAGGCTCCATGGCTATTCAAGTCTTTGCAAAATGTCACTGCCATTGCTTTCAATTTTTTTGACTCAATTCCAAAATCCCAACTTCCATGGTACAAATCCCCGGTTCAATTAAATGCTGGAATCAGCCAAAGGAGCAGTTTGAAAACAACAAAGACCTTGACTTCTGAAGAACAAGGAGAGGCAGAGCAGAGAGCACTAGCCTCTGCTTTGGCAAGTGGGAAAGAGGCTACGGTGGTGGAGTTCTACTCGCCCAAGTGCAGGCTTTGCAATTCCTTGCTTAATTTCGTCTTGGAAGTAGAGGGTAGGAATTCTGATTGGCTCAGCATTGTCATGGTTGATGCTGAAAATGAGAAATGGCAGCCTGAGGTACCTTGACTCCATCATGATTTTTTAATCTATTTGCCAAACATTAAAAGTAATTTGGCAGACCTGATGGCCTTCCACTTGAAAGCAATTATGTCTTCATTTTACTTCTCAGTTTAATCATTCATCACCTTTCTGAGTTATATATATATATATATAGATTCATATTTTTCTTGTTGAATATTAAGTAGTTGGCTGTAGGGATGTCAACGGGGTGGGTTCGGGACAGGGCACCTCTTTCTCAAACCTGTCCCACCAATGAAAAACTTTTCCCAAACCCGGTTTGGGGCATCCCACATTGAAGTTCGTTCGGGTTTGGTGTGCCCTAGTATACATCTTTTAAAAAAAAAAAAAAAAAAAAAAAAAAATTCTAACTTGAACAAATTTAAGATAAATTTTGTATAAAAATTTTAGTATAGTCAAATATTTAACAATCATAAGAACTAAAATGTTGTTGAAATTTAAAATTATCATAAGAAATAAATAATAAAAAATTTATAGCTAATAAAAGAATATTTATTTATATATTAATTATTAATCGGGCGTGTTTGAGCCTTTGTGGGTTTTAAACTCTCTTCCCAAACCCACCCCTAACCCTGTTAGGATGATCCCAAACCCATCCCAATAGCGGCGGGGTTGGTTAAATTGACATCCCTAGTCGGCCGTTCTATTGCTTAGGTAATGGGTAAGCCTTTGTAGATTTGTGATATGAATGAGCACTAGTAGTTCTATCTACAATAATTTGTGATTTATAACCAAATTCCAATTGAAATAAAATGTTTAGGATAAATCAATGCATTTTAGGAGGAATCAATGAAAGGACATCAATTCAAATCCTGGATTTTCGAATTGAGAGAACACTATAGTTTCACGAGTTAGTGTGATATTATGAGCTACTTTTTTGGTCAGTGTTGTTTACAGAAGCATGTCTAGGTATCCCCAAGATTTGGGACACAAGTAAAAGGAAGCTAAGTTTTATAAGAGCTCCTTATTTGAGCAAGCTAGTGATGATCTTTCAGTTTTATCTGAAGTTGCCTTCAAATTAGATAAAGCTGCGTTTTAAAAATTGGCAATTGCTAGAGTTAAGTTTGTGGAGTATTAAGTTCTGGCTTTGCAAGTGGTAAAACAGGCTCACTTCCATCTGATGCACTGAACAACACCATTTAGAAGATCTGGTGAGACAAGTTTATTGATAAATAGGCTTTCTCTTTTTTGGTCGACACTAGTGGTGTCAGGCCTTTTAGAGCATCCCATAGTCCACCATAGGGCGCATGCAATATCCCTGTCCTACATGCACGGGGCAATTATCGAAAATTTCCCTTGGGGTGGCCTCAAGAAGATTCAAACTCCCAACCTCCAAGATGTGAGGTGAGAGCCGTACTATTAGGCTATCCTCTTGGAGTTATTTATATCTTAGATTTTGTATCTAGCTTCACTTTGCGGTCATCGTGTCAGCTTTAAAAGCAAACTTTCTTTTGAGTATTTTTTCCCATCACGTTTCCTCTATCTTTTGTACTTCTCTGGGCTGCAAAGTTTTAAGCTAAAGGAAAAAGATTTTCTACAGAAGGTTTAGAAGAAAATTCAGTTGCTATAAATTGAAATTAATTGAATTTTTAATGTTGAGTTGGTGGAATCTAAATTTTTTAATGGTCTGCCATTTATTTATTTAATTTTTTTCCTTCCTTCCTTTTTTTTTTAGCTTCGTCTGTCCGGCGAATTCTTCACCATATAATTTCTGCATAATTGAACTGCATTTTTTTTTTTTTTTTTCTAGTTGGTACTCACACACACTTGTCTCTTCCGAGACTTGAATCCCGGACCTCCCTTTGGAACGTAAGAGGCTGATAACGCTAGGTCACTGGCCGTTGGTTAATTGAACTGCATTTATTGCTACTTCATAAATGCTCCAGCTGATGTAGAATATAAAATTTTTATTTGCAGCTTCTACATTATGACATAAGATATGTTCCTTGCTTTGTACTGCTGGACAAATACGGGAGGGCACTAGCAAAGACGGGGGTTCCAAGCAGTCGGTTACATGTTGTAGCAGGTGTCTCTCATCTTCTCAAAATGAAGCGCCCACAGAAACATCAAGGATAGATTTCGAATTTATGTTTTAGATGGACAATAAAAGACTATTATCATGTGAGTTTTCATGTGGGTAATGTTTTTTGGATCTCACATTGATTAGTCAGAAAACTATAAGCAACTTATTGGAATGGGCAAAACCTTTGTTTCTTAGGCTTTAAAATGCAACTTTTCACAGGCAACTTTGTCAGTCCTTCGTAAGTTTAGGGAGAGATATGTCTTCCAATTTTTCTAATTGCGCATGTCATTTACTGTTGTTACTGCCTGATAAAAGTAGTTGTACCACAATGGTCAAGAGCCTATATTTGTGGTGGCGAGAAGAAATAGGGTTAGGGGTTCAACTGGACTTGAAATGAATGAATATATTTAATTTTACCTATCCCATTGCTTTTTACTGGAAATTATGAATAAGTTGCAGCGAATTGCTCTGGAAATTGTCGTAGCTCCATTGATTCTCATGCTAGCTTTATGTATCATCACATTGTTGCAATAGTTGTAGCTATATAACTCTTTTTTGCGTTGGGCATTACTTTGTCGCCTTTTTAGTATAATGCCTTCAGAGCGGGTGTGTCCATGTTCAAGCCCCCCTTCCCCTAGTTAATATCTTGTTTTTCCACATCGTTAAGAATGTGGTGTAAGAGGTACCTAGGAATAGGAAATGGAATGAGTTGCATGACCATCACATCACCTTCAGCAATGTTAATGTGTGTTTGGGAGTGCTAAGGCTGCACTTTGAAATTGGAAAATTTGAGTATTATTATTATTTTGGGTGAAGTACAATGACACCCCCTAAAGTTTGGGGTAAGGACAGACAAATATAAGTTGGCTTATTTTTAGACAATAACACCCCCTCTGGTTTGATATAGTTGACAAAGACACTTTGGCAATGGTGAATTGATGTTAGTGCCCTTTGACACATTAAATTATCAATTTAAACAATACAATCATTTTTTATTGACTAAAATACCTTTGGATCTAATAGGTGTAAATGGGTTACCGGGTACAACCCATTTGAAAAACTCATTTTTTCCCTCTCCTCACCCTCTTCTTCTTTTTCCCCTCTCAAATCCTAACCCTAACCCTAACAAAGCCACCACTGCCTCTCCCTCAAACCCACCATCGTCTTCATCTCCAAAATCACCCACTGTAGTGCATTCACTACCGTCGCCACCACGACGATGAGGGAGCCGTCGCCACCATGACATTGAGGGAGCCGCAACAAAGCCCCAAAAAAATAGAGGCCGGTTAAATCTGCACGTACGGATCGACCGCAACAGAGCCCCGCAGCGGTTTTGACGAGCAAAGAGTGAACAACAATGAAAGGTCGAGCATGACAGTGAAACTGTGACAATAGAAACCTTTGAAGAACTCGCCGATAACGAGCAAGGATGTGCTTGGTCAACGACGAGCAAGAAGGATAACACAAGACGACAGTGAGTGTCGGTGGATTTCTAAGGGATCTTTGGGGTTCGGTCACGAACAAGGGTCACCGGGATAACATGGGCGTGGAGATTAACGAACTGAGATGGGTCGCCATAACTGAAACTGAGGATCACTAAAGCTTTCCGTTTGGTACTTTGGCAACGCCTGTAATGGTTTCCATTTGCAAGGTATGCTAGGTCGGAGGTTGTTTCAGGTCCCACAACTGATGGTGGTGGTGGAGGCCGTAGACGTCACCACCACCATCGCCATTCCCCACCACACAACGCCACAACCATCATCCCAACAACCGCTATCCTCATAGTCGACAACTGCTGCCACCATCCCAATAGTCGATAACCACCACCACTGTGATACCCCCATATTTCCACGTGTAGGTTGGCTAGGCCCACACCCGAAAGCATGGGGATATAACAAACAAACTGGCAATAAACGAACACAGAATACAAAAGGATGAATAAAAATAGATAAAAATGCTGAAATGAAAACTAAAATGATAATCCAATATTTAAATCCTCGGAATAAATTTCCATTAATTAATTCTTCTGATACAATTAATCCTTCAGTAATACAACTCGGGAATCTATACTGTGTGGACCCCTAGAAAACCAAAACTGAAAAGTAAAAGTAACAACTGTCTACATCTGAAAACTAAAACATAACTGAAACTCCTATGTAAATTCGGAAGAGTGAAGTAGACTGGTCTTTGCTCAGCACGAACCATCTTTACACCTGACGAATACCTGAAAAATAATAATAGGTCAGGTCCACGAACAAGTTCTACTCTACTACATTCCAAACAGAGACCCGATACACGTATACATTCTAGTCAACTTAACAATAACTAAGTAGTCCGTATATATATATAGATACACACTAAAAGGATTCTCACTGGAGCATAGGGCGACCTCAACCTGAATAGTAGGCAATATGTAAAACGCACATATAGTGGGCATGGGTACATAGACCTACCAGGGCACACAATAAACCACTATATCCAGCTAGACATCCCATTACATATACGCATCCTAACTAGGGCTGCAACTCGAGCGGGCCAACTCGAATTTACCCGAGCCCAGCCCGCATTTTTACGGGCTTGGACAATGATTTTTTGTTCTGGGCCTAGGCCTGGGCTGAGTTTATTGAGCCCGAATTCAATTCAGGCTGGGCTCGGGTAGATATGTTATGAAGCCCGAAGCCCAACCCGAACCCACCCGAAATGCTAAAGCCAGTTCAACCCGCTGAAAGAACCCGAACATCAAGCCCGATCTCATAAGCCCACCCAACCCGAAAATGAAGCCTACACAACCTATCACATTCAGACTACTTTCAGTAATCGTAGTAGGCACAAAAATATAAGGAACTAAGAGATTTGAATGCTGGACATTTTAGAGAAAAGAATCTAGCATTACCATTTCTGCTCTAACAGTCCTTGTGAAATCTTTTGCTTAGTAAAATATATAAATACTAATAATATATATAGTATATACCTAATATAAAATTATAAGGAAGGCCATATTTGCATCTCCTTTTTCTACATTTACACTACAATCTTAAATGAAATGTCAATTATAACCTTAACTTTACAACTAAATGATTATTACTTTTTAAATGACACAACAACCCTTTCAAATTTCCTCTTCTTATATCTAATATTATATCTTTTGTCAAGATTCAAAAAACATATATATATGAAAAAAGATGATTAAAAAAAAAAAATTATCTGTATTGAATAAATTATGATAAGATCCAAAAAATAAAAAAGTTATTTCTGTTGAATAAATTATTTCTTTTTAAGGCCATAGAAAAATATCAATTTTTTTTTTTTTTCAAAATAGGAATTATTGACTCATTAAGCATTATTAGAGGAATTCATCTACTGAAAGTGATATTATTGATTATTTTAATATCTGACTTGCATTATTGACTCATTATTAGAGGAATTCCTCTACAAAAATTGCAATATTTTATAATTTTTCAATACTTTGCATTTTTTTTTTTTTAATTTCTCTTTTTGTTTTTTTGTTTATGAGTGTCAGATAGTCAGATAGATAATTAGCTTTAATCACTAATGCCTATCAAAGTAATAGATGTATATTAATGATCAAAGACACAATCTTTTACATATAAAGTATAAACGAAAGGGATACACAATCTAATTATATATAAAGAGTCGTTACAAGTATGCAATGTGATGTATACATAAAACAAATATATATATCAATGCCTATCAAAGTAATAGATGTATATTAATGATCAAAGATACAATCTTTTATATATAAACGAAAGGGATACACAATCTAATTATATATAAAGAGTCCTTACATATATGCAATATGATGTATACATAAAACAAATATATATATATATATATATATATCAATGCCTATCAAAGTAATAGATGTATATTAATGATCAAAGACACAATCTTTTACATATAAACAAAAGGGATACACAATCTAATTATATATAAAGAATCCTTACAGATATATAATGTGATGTATACATAAAACAAATATATATATAATTTGATATACATAGTGATTGAAACTTTAATAAATAACAAAATACTAGATTAATATGAAATCTAGAAAGGAGATTATAACTTTCTAAATAGTTAATTACCTTCTATTTACAATTTTCTAAATAGTTAATTACCTTCTATTTTTAAATAGGTCATATTATATTTTTAAATAGTTCCTATTATTATTATATTTACGTGAAGTAGTAAATTTTTATTTATCAGGATAAATAGTAGGACTCATATATATATATATATATATGGTATCTTCTAATAAGCATTGCATGTCACAATGAAAACATATATCAACAAAAAATAATCAAAACTGAAACATTGGCTATATATAAAATTATATATATACACAATAAAAATAAAAACTTATTATTGTATTATTAAGGAAATTAAGAAAAACAATAAAATAAAAATCAGGAAAGAAAGAATTAGTTGAACACTTAAAATAAATAAATAAATAAAAGTCGAACACTATTTTTGGTATATAGAAACCCTAGGTTCCTTAGTATCCTTACCTTACTTCCTAGTTCCTTTACTCTCATTCTCAAAGTCCGCCTCCCCTAAGTACTTTCCAAAAAAAAAAAAAACTCCGCCTCCCATATTCTTAGTTTCCATCGCTCGTTGTTCCAGATCGGATTCACCGTTCGCAAGCTTCAACCGCTGGCCAACTGTCTCTCAACTCTCAAGCTTGCACCCCTCTCTCTCTGCAACTGCCAATTACTAACTTGCATGTATGGGTTTTGTTATATTTTTTATTTATTTATTTATTTTTTATAAATCAACTAATCAAGGCTGTAAGACTATAATTCTTGTTTTGCCATTTTTTTTTTTTTTTTTCAGATTGTTCAAAAAATCAAAACCTATATCTTTCAGTTTCCAAATCCAGATCTCCAACCCCTATTCGCCACCGTCCTCTGTCCTGTCATCCTTCATCATCGTCTGCTGTCATATCGATAGGTACTATAGATTATTTATTTATTTTTTGTTTTAGAGTTGAATCCATTACAATTTCTTGTTATTGTTGTTTTGTCTTGCATATTGAAGTAGAAATTTATATGTACACACAATTTGCTATTATTGATTTACTCTCAACTCTCAAGCTTGCCTCCCTCTCTCTCTCTGCAACTGCTAACTTGTATGTATGGGTTTTGTTTTTATTTTATTTTATTTTTTATTTTTATTTATTTATTTATTTTTTTCTTCTAAATC